TCAAGAAACATGTAGATGTGGTGCTTGGGGATGTGGGTTAGTGGGTTGGGTGGTGTTGGGTTGGTGGTTGGACTTGATGATAGTTGAGGTCTTTTCCAACCTTAATGATTCTGTGAAAGGTGAAGCAGGAGAGCACTTGCCTCTCCAGAGCTCAGACACTCTCAGTATTTGGCTTAAAGGAATAAAAACCAGCCACCTGAAGCAGTGGTTGGGCAGCTGAGATGGGTTTAGGATGTAGGCTGCTTACGGTCCTGGGGCTGCCTGACCCTTGAGGTAGAGGAATGTGGTTGTGCTTCCTTTTTGACCAAAAATTTCTCTGGATGCCTCAGCCTTTGCTTGTGCTGTGGGAAATTACTTAAACACACAGGAAAAGGATGAACTGAACTTTGAGTCTGTAGTAAACAGCAGAATCTTTTTAAAAAGGATCGGTGGCTTTTCTTGTAGATATTTCCAATGAAGGAGAACCCACCACATCCTTTAATAAATTGTTTTGGTGGTTACTTACCCTAGTTTTATTTTGTCTATTTTTAACTTGCAACCGTTGGCTCTCAGCCTGCTTTTGCTGGCAAAAATAAGAGTCCTGCCTTCTCAGAACTTTTCGTGCTTCTACACTGTGATTAAACCACTGTCTTAAGCTTTGCTTCAGTAAACCAAGTTGGCTGAACTTCTCATTGCCTTCCCCGTGAGATCCAGGGTCATTTCTGTAGCTGTCTTCCAATGCTTCCTTTTTTTCCCAGTACTCTTTTGGAGGTATAGAAACTGGAACTGGATGCAGGTTTTCCATCAAACTGCCTGAAAGAATGGTACCAATTTCCTGCTTTAAAATGATTCTTCTTTTTTTATGAATCTTGTGATCATATTAGTCCTCCTGGCCAACAGAAAGGGAGCCGGTGTTCATAAAGACTTTGATATCACGCGAAAAGTCACTTCAAAGTTATTGGTGCCCAGGATAAAAGTCCAGTGTAAAAAGCATCATTTACATTTTGTTCCTGAGTTCACTACCCTGAAATGAGTCAGTCCTGAAAACTTCAGATCGTTTTATAAAACTTTGATATTTTTTTTTCCCAATTTAATTTATTTTATGGCGCGTGATTCTGCTGTCTCTTTCAGACTCTGGAAAAAGGTAGCAACTGACCTTGAGCTAGGAATACATTAATGCTAGAAAAACACCTACAGAAGAATGATTTGTGCCCTGAAATTTGTAAGACATGCTAGTTGGCAATTTTTAACCAAATTAATATAATCCATGAGTTCATACTGTGCTAATTGGAGTCAGATGTTGTTATGAGTAAATCAAATGCTTTAAAAAATCTGTCATGTAAACACAGCCATGCTGATCAGCCAGACACATCAGCTCATAAAAATAGCTACTTTGTTTAGTTTTTCATTATAAAGCTGTATTGATTAGCATAAAATATTCTTCATTCGTTATTGAACGTTGCCTGTTCCAGCTTTGCATTTATTTTGTACAGGCTAGGTGGTCTGGAAATACTTTTTTGTATCTTCATACCTGTTACCTTTATTCCAGTTTTCTGAGCTCACCCAAGATCCAAGGAAGTATTAAAAACAAATGTAAGCAAATATTGCAGCTGCATTACAAATTATTTGGGCTTGCGTAGGATACAGTTGGACATGAGCAGGCACTGTTTGGAATAGAAAGCGTGTCTCTATCAGTCCGAGATGTGAACATAGCCAGGTTCTGTCCAAATACGGCACAAATTGTATATTCCAGGCGTGAAGCTTTGCTGCCTGGTTATGGATGGCTGTTTCTCCGTATTGAATGATGTTGTCTAAGCTTCGTCTGTTCCTAATTAGATGCAAATACCCTTCTTTTGTCTTTTTACTGCTCATCAGGCCGCTCGTCCTCATTACTGCTGCACTGCTATTCACTGCAAGACCTCACAGAGGCCAAGCAATTAATGGGGTTCAGAGCTGCACTTAGTTTGGGAACTGTTGTTGTCACCGTTGCTAATACCCCACCATCATTAGGAAATAATTTCTAGAGTCCTTGGGGAGGGTCGGACCACCACTGCTGTGAAAGCAGAGTAGACTGAGGGATATTGAAGACTTCAAGGGTCACCTTATTCCTTCTGGTTCCTGGTCACTGGCCACAGGGCCAAAAATACTGTGGTCAGGGTCTTCAGGGCCGCACGGCAGAATTTAAACTGTCAGGTTGGTTTGTTTCAAAAGGTGCAGGGCAGGATTTGCACTGAGGACAGACAGTGGAACAGCGTAAGGGACCCTCACAAGCTGTGTCCCTCTTTATGAAGCCAGCCCTGGGCAGTGCTGGTGGCCTGGGAGGGTGCCAGGTGGTTGGTGTTGGTGGGTCTGTGGTGCCACAACCCGGGGAGATGGAGATGTCACACTTACGCTGGGACCTCTTGGTTTGGATGCGGCCCAAGAGCAGGAAGGGAGAGAGTTGCTACCAGCCCTTGGGAGGGTAAAACAAACCTCCCAAGAGGGAGGGGACAGCAGGGACAGCTATTGATGTACTGAGCCATCAGGACAGGTTGATGGATGCAGGCTTACACGGTGGTGTAAAGAAAAGTTAGATCCTCGGTTGTCTTCAAGGAGCAACCACAGCAGAAGAGCTGCAGTGTGTCAGGGGATATCTTCTTCAGCTTGCACGTATTGCTTGGTCATTTTTTGGGGAAGAAATTAGCTCAGACTGCAGATGCTGAAGGCTTTCTAAAAGACACCAGAGCCCAGGTGTGGTTTTTCTTTGCTCTCTTAGGATATGTGTTCAAGAGTTGGTCTGTGAGGCTTTAGATGAGTACAGGGTTGGTTTGATCAAGTTTCATATGGGCCTTTTGAAGAGCCTGCCAAAATTTGACCGTTGGTGTAGCTTTTGCATGTAAGGTTTAGAGCTATTTCAGAATCACTTTTTGCACAAATGTTCTCATTGCACGCTGAGCGGATGGAGCTGCACTGGAACAAGTCAATCATTCTGGGTTAGGAGTGTTCATGCAGGGAGATATTAGAAATTGAAAATCTTCATGAACAGGACATCCCTGAGGCGTGATTTAGATTTCAGTAAATCTTCCTCCTGTCTGATTGCTCTCTTCTCTTCCTCCTAGGTGCATTGTAACAACATGTTTTCCAAGGGGGTGAAGATCTTCCAGAAGGTGGAGTGTCTGTTCAAACCACGCCTGATTGCAGACTGGGAGTCCGAGCCTGTTGGAGTGGCAACTGTCTTGGATGACAAAAACCCCAGCGCCCGGTTTGTGACTGTCCCCCTCAATCAGCGGGTGGGTAAAGCCATCCTCTGCCGCTTCTACTTTGCTGACACCTGGATGATGATGAGCGAGATTTCCTTCCAGTCAGGTGAGTATTCCTCCAAAGCAAGCAGATCTGGGGAGTCATAAAGGGCAGAAGAGTTGGTGTGGAGGTGGGAGGACATGTGGGGTTAACATGAGCGTAGGGCACTTGTGGGGCTACGTGACAGGAAGGAGGAGATGGCAGAAGCACTGAGAGGTTTGGAAGGGCAATGCAGGTGCAGAAAGGTCCAGTCTATAGAGGATGCTTTTCAGGCTGATACTGATGCACGTGTCCAGAAGCACAACCAGGGCAACCAAAAGTTGGGCTACAGAGCCTTTCTTCTTTCTGAGACAGCTGCTGGGTGCTTATAGGGTTGATTTTTTTACTTCTCTTTACCAAGTATTTTGTTATGAATAATTTGAGTGTATCTACAGGTGATAATCAAGTTCGCAAATTATGAAAAATAAGAGGCTGACTTTTTTTTTCTCAAATCTTAACTGTGACGCAGAAGTCAGCGCCATGAGGTGCTTTAAAAGGCTCTAGAAGGGAATGGACAGAGTCTTGGAGAAAACTACCTGTACAGTGAAATGATCTGTCTGTAGCTTCCTACTCGAAGGTCCCAAATCAGCTCTAGTGAGAGGACGTTCCTGGGGAAGGAGCTCTGATTGCAGCTGGCTGCTTGGCTGGCTGGTAGCAGCCCCTCCTGGCTGCCCTTCCCTGTCGTGCGTGGGACCAGGCAGGCTCTGGGACTGGCCTGGGATGACTATTCTCGCTCTGGCTGAGCACCGGGAAGGGTCCTGTGTGCACCGGCAGTTTGCTGTGGTCAGGACCTACGTGCTGCTCAGTGGAGAGGCTCATTCCTCTGGGTGTGCTGGGAAGTGCCGAGCGAGCAGGTATCTGCTCACGCTGTCCGTGACCTGCTGCGTGGGTCTCAGTCCGGCGTGGGAAGGCGGGGTGGTGGCTGGGATCGTGCTGATGGCTGGCAGGTTGTTGGACTGACGCTTTCCCTTCCCTCCCCCAGACATGGAGACCGTGAATCCGAATTTTGTTACCGCAGCCACCAGCACAACGGATGTCCTGGAGACAGAGTACAACGCTACTGAGGGGACCTGGGGTAAGGACTTGTGTCACTTAGCCGTGCCAAGGGCTCGAGTGTCAGGGGATTTCATGGTGACATTCTAGTTAACGTCTTCCCTCAGCTGGCCAAGGCTGCCTCAGAGCAAGTGGGCTGAAGGCGTGTGTGCAGCCAGTGAAACGCTGAAAACCGTCTGATCTGTCATGGATCCATTGCAGGACTGTGTTTCAATGCTAAGAACAGTCTTTGATTGCAGAAGTTCTTTGCACAATTCTTAGCTACGAGCCTCATTACATGTTGTTGCCAGTCACACCTTGCAGGTGGACAATATCTCTTTCAGCATAGTGAGGAATGTTGTTCTCAATGAGAATGAGAACTTCTGAGAAATTAAATACGTGAACACAGCTAGTGTTAATGCTCAGGAAACTGCCCAAGATCTTCTCTGTACCAGTGTAGGAAGGGACCTGTAGGAAGCTGGGCAGCACAGATACCAGCCTGTGCTTTGTTAACACCAGATTCTTCTTCATTCTTCTACAATTGCAGAAACCACATCTTCTGTAACCAGCACCTGGATAGGAGAGAAGGCAGATGACTCCAATACCTCCATCCTCGTGGGATGCCTTGTGGCTATTATTCTTCTGCTCCTGATGATTATAATCATTATTCTTTGGAAGCAATATGTTCAAAAAAGGTTGGAAAAGGTAATACAGTGGGGCTGTTTTGCAGATACAAGTTCAGTACTAAGCATTAACCCTAATGAGCTCAGAATTATGTGGAAAGCCCAAGGTTTCCCCAGCTCCATAGAATGGCTAAAACTGTTCTCGCAGCAGGGGAGGATGCCAGCACTATCCAAGGTGTTACTGGAAATCGCTGCGATTGCAGCCAGTACATTACTTAACAACTGAGCATCGCTTCAGCGCTTTTTTTGCTCTCTTGCAGGCCCCACGTCGAATCCTGGAGGAGGATGCCACAGTTCGCCTCTCTTTCTACAGCTACACCATTGCCAACAACCAGACCCAGATCCACCAGTCAAATCCCACCTATGAACGTGCTTTCCCACTGGATTTGGAATATCACCAGCCAGCTACCCTGCTCCAAAAGCTTCCAGAGCTCTCCCAAAGCGCGGAGGATTCAGGTAATGGAGTCGTCAGTCTCCAGAAGTTATGCATTTATTCTTTAGTTTCCCTCAGACTTTAAAATGTGCCACTTCTCATTCTCTGAGTAATCTTCTCTGACTCCTGTGCGATACAGGACTAGCCCAGGAACCTAAGCCAATATTCTGGAGCTCTGAAACTTTTTAGCGTGCAGCTTGGGCAGATGGAGCACCAGCCCCACTAAAGGGTGGTGGCCTTTTATTGTTTTCTTGGAAGACTTTGTTTTTACGTTAGCCAGGTGATCTTTTAGGAGCTGGTTTTGGCAATCCCAGCAATCACACATGGTTTGTCTCATCAGCCCCGTGGCAGGGGAGTCTCTGCCTGCAGCACCCCTGGGCTGTCCGGACTGGTGGAGAAGACCTTTAGCACCTCTTCCTGCAACAAGTGCTCTTTGAAATCCCCCTAGAAAGAGCAGAGGGAAATGCAGCAGAGAATTGTCAGTGCTGCACTGGCTTCCAGCCCCTGGGGGACTTTTGGATGCATACAGAAGGGAAAGTTTCCAGCAGTGTTTTGTACTTGCTGGTGGCAGTGCTGGTTAGTGAATGGAAGGGCAGTGCTGCATTCCTCCAGCACTGACAAGCTGCTAAGATCCAGCATTATACTACCCAGGGAGACTGATTTGGGTTGTCAGGATGTGAATTTGAAGCAGAACAAATGTTCTGTGTAATAGTGACCATACAGGGAGTTACTTATAGAGCCATAGCATACTCATGGTATTGGTGTGGATAAGCTGTAAGAGCTTGCTAACAGAGCACACGGATGATGGAAAACTAGATCAGCTCTTGTTGCAGAAGCGAATGCAGAGCAAGTTTGATGCTGCAGACAACATCCCTGCGTCAGGTAAAGGGACCAGATCATAGGATGAATCAGGAACAGGAAATCACTTCAGATTCATGCCTCCGTGTCTGGGCGAGAAGTTCAGCTCTCCTAACTGGATAGAGGCGGCAGCTCTTTAACATGAGTTCACAGGCCCCTCGCAGGTATTCTGCTGTCTGCAGGAGTGCTGCTTCTTCTGGTTTAAGCCCTGCTTAAAACAGAGTCTTCCATCCTTGGCACAAGGCAGTAGATGTGCAGCCAGGCTGAGTTCCCAGAGGTCTGCAGGATGGAGAGGAGCGGATGCCAGCCTGTACTGGTTTTATGGGAGTGAGTGTGTCTGACTCCACCTGTGTTTGGTTTCCCCTTAGTGTGCAGCGGAGACTACGCTGAGCCCGACCTGACCAAGTCCACTCCTCACCAGGGCTTTCAGAACAACGTTCCTCACTACGCCGAGACCGATATCGTCCACCTGCAAGGCGTGACCGGCAACAACATGTACGCAGTCCCGGCCCTCACGGTGGATTCGCTCACCAAGAAGGACATCTCGGTGGGTGAATTCCCACGGCAGCAGCTACGACTCAAGGAGAAGCTGGGAGAAGGACAGTTTGGAGAGGTACAACCATTCTCTTCCATGCTGCCTCCAACACTGGCACAGTGAAACCTCTGAGCTGCCCCCCTGGCACTGCTTCGTGTTTGGGGGCTGAGGGACCTGCATAGCAGTGTTATATTTAAGACACATCTGTGCTGTTGGGGAAAGCTGACATCCCTTAGAACAGGCTTCAGAGAGCCCCATTCTGCACTTGTGAGGTGCTGCTTGGTACCACGTGAGTCCTTCCCAACAGATGAGCTTTGCAAACATCTTCTGGTCGCTGTTGATATCCCCATTTATGACCCTACAGAAAAGGCCTGGGGGTGGGAATTTGCACTGTTTCATGGCTGTCCATGGACATCTCAAACACGCAGTGGCTGCCCCCCACCTTTAGGATGTGAGTTTGAACGCTATAGCAGCAACTCCAGCCAAGACAGGCTGATCCTAGCTGTGCAAACAGCTTTCACATTACCAGGTGGAGGTTCTGGTGGGGCTCTGCACGCTGGCCCGAGCAAAGACAGGTGTTTCCCAAGCCCTGTGGTGCCCTCACGTACTCTCCAGCATTGCTGCTTGCTCAAGCCCCAGTTTGTGTCAGAAGCCTCAGGCAGCATGATACATACGTCTGTCATCTGCCAGGCTTTCTCTGTACTTCTTGAGCTGCTTTCGAGCTGTGAATATTTTCACTTCACCTTTTCTTCTCTCCCTTTGTTCCCACACCATCCCTAGATCCATACTGAGCCAAGTCATCCCCTCGCCTGCTCCCACTCCTCCACCCTTTCCTTCCCAACTTCTGCTCATTCACAGCCTTAGATTCTACCTGTCTGCTACGTTTTGGCAAAGCACAGCCCTTTACTGGCTGCTTCCTTACCTGTGATGGACCCAGCCCTATAGTTCCTCCCTTCTGACAGCACACCTTCCCTGCCCCAGCCCCTTCCCGTCCCCCTCACCCTTTTCTGGATCACTCAGTGTACTGGGAGAGCGCTGACATCCTCGACCTCTTCACCTGGCTGTTGGTGCTGTTGCCTGGATCCTGCCCTGTTTTGGGCTGGGCTCCAGAAGTGAAACAAGAGGCTTTTTTCTCATTGCTTTGCTTCTGGACTCTCGTTCCAGTCCTAATAACTGTCAAAGCTTTCTCCCCCTGTGTTGTCAAACAGCAGCAGCCGGGCTCTCTCCATTTTCCTTGGAGATGGATTCAGAGCCTGTTCCTTTCCTCCCATCACAGGCCCTTTCCCTCCCTTTTGCAGATGTGCTGCATCACATCCTCCCCTCTCTCCTTCTCACCTCCTTAGTCTTTACCAAACTGATCAGCATGTGCTCTGCCCCGCTTCTCTGCCTTAGCGTGCAGCCGTCCTGCTAGCAACATGGCATTGCTTTTTTCCACCTCTCCACTCACAGCTTCCTTCCCTTTCAGGCTTTTTTCTTCCTTGCTCCTAACCACCCGCTCCCTGGACTCAGTGACACACGTTACCTGCACTTGTCACACACGTGCTTAGTACCACGGCTCTTTCCTATTCCTCTCCTCGTCTCTGTCCTTCCACCACAGCAGATTTCATTCTCCATGGAACTGCAGCAGGATCTTTGTGCTTTTGTTTCTGTTCTGTGGGTCTGTCCCATTTTTTTCTCTGCTGTCTCCTTTTTTTCATGTAACTTCTTGTCCTTTCTTCATATAAAATTCATTAAGCTCCCATTACACTCCCCTCACTGCTACAAGCCGTTGCCTGACACACCCAGCCTGCTCCCCTCCTCCTGTCCTTTTTCTGATCCCACACTCTCGGGTCTGTCTGCTTTCCCCACCCAAGCATCTCTTGCCCAGTTCTCAGCTGAATATGCATTCTGATAACTTCTGATGGGTCTGTCTGCTTTCCCCAGCCCAGCATCTCTTGCCCAGTTCTCCAGCTGAATATGCATTCTGATAACTTCTGAAGCAAATGTCTTGTCACCCCCTTTCTTAAATAGCCCTGGCAGCAATTTTATGTCTTTGTTCCTTTATTTGTCTGAAGAAACTTGGCATTCTGTGTACTCAGTATTCATCTCTGGGTATATTCACAGGTGAGGTGTTCACATCACACACATGCACACGCTCCTTTTTTCCCCTGGAACTGGAGGGCTTTGGACAGCTGTCGGTAATTCCTCGCTGCTCCTCAGTTAAGTCCGAGTGGTGACTCGAGGCAGGCTGCGGGACAGTTCTGTGCGTGTGGCTGGTGTGATGCGCCGTGCTGCTGCAGCCCCGCTCTTTGCACACGCAGAGTAAAGCCCCCAGCTCCAGTGCCCTTCCTGAGCACCTCCAGTACCTGCTGGTAAATCAGACTGCCCCAGTAACCTACTGCACCAGTCTGTACGTGTGCAGTAAATTCAGCGTGTTGGGGACCTGCCAGGCTGCAATCCCCATCGGCTCCTGTGTCATGGGCTATACAGCGTTTGTGCAGGACAGCCTACGAGCGATTTCTGATCAGAACAAACTCATCTTCATGAGGTTATTCACTTGCTCACTCCACCAGTGATGAGCAGCCTGACAACCTCAACATGACTTTTTTTTTTTTTCTCTGGTTTTTGACCTGTGCGTACTCTCATGGTTGCCCCTGCCCCGCAGGTGCACCTTTGCGAAGCCGATGGCCTCCTGGAATTCCTGGGAGTCTCATCTACAGAGTTCACTCACCAGCCGGTTCTCGTAGCGGTGAAAATGCTGAGATCAGATGTCAACAAAACGGCCAGGTGAGCACATCCGCAGCGTGACCATCTGGGAAGGAAAGCAAATACTCTGCAAGCAGCAGTGTCATGTAGGTTAGCCCTGGTGGCTTCTGTATCTCTGGTGTAGGTTCTACATGTTTTTGGAAGGAACAGGACACAGGCGGGGAGTGGACTCTATATAGGAGTAGATACAATTGCAAACTGAAATGCTGCATTTTCAAACATTTCAAACATTAATTGTGTTTGCTGGGGAAGGGGTCAGTGTTGAACACAAGCACAGAACCAGCTTTCCAACTTTATGCAGATGTGTAAATGTCTCTGTACAAATTTTCTTACACGCTGCTTCTGCTTTTGTTACACAAAGGAAAAGTTTAGGATTCGAACCTGTCTTTTCTGTTTTACAAGAAATGATTTCCTGAAGGAGATCAAGATCATGTCACGGCTGAAGAACCCAAATATCATCCGGCTTCTGGGGGTGTGTGTGCGCGATGACCCGCTGTGCATGATAACGGAGTACATGGAGAACGGGGACCTCAACCAGTTCCTGTCGCAGAGGGAGATCTACAGCAAATTTGCCATTTCCAACAATATTCCCTGCGTCAGGTAAGAGGAGCTGCCCGTGTTTGGGATGAATCAGCAGCACAGAGCTACCGGTTTCATCTCCCTTCCAGGCAGTGACCTTCGCTCAGCCCGGCCACTCCACGGCACATGCTGCGGACACTAGTCCTGCTTTGCGTGGGAGGTTGTTCTGGAGGTCCGTGTTTCCGTGAAGTGTCCCTGGCTGCAGGATGTTCTGGTCACGGTGACCATCTTAGCTGTGGTGTTTACTGATGTAACCGTCTGTTTGTGTTAGTGGGGGAAATATTTCATTAATATGGGAAGGCAGTAGCATTACGGCAAGAAATTTGGGATGAAAATCAAGAATGTCTCTTAGGCTTTTAAGAAGGTTCATATGTTCTCTGGATGTCTAAAAAATATTACATGAGGGGAATTGAGTGTAGGAAAGATTCATCAGCCAACAAAAGGAGAATATTTAGCAAAGAAAACCATTTTCTGTCAGTGGTGGCACTTATCTCCCTCCTTTGTGGAAGGATGAAATCAAATATAAAAGCATCTCTGCTGTTGCAGAAATCATTCCTCAGAGGAGGGTTGTGTGTGGGACTAACGTGTATTCTGCTCGATAGAGAAACGGCTGCACTGCTCAGCCTTTGGCATGTACCCCACCAGGGATTAGGTTTGTTTATAGTTAGAACAAGGCAGTCAGGTCTGTTGATGGACGGGACAGGAGGTGGACCAGGGATTCTGCCAGGAGCTGGCGGTGGTCAGTGGCCCTGTTGGGGAACATTGAACTCGCGTCCTGCAGAGTCACGACACACCAGGACTGTAGGGTGGGAGAGGGTTTGCACCTGAGGAGGAACACATTCCAGCTCTCTCCAGTGTCCTGTCCCAGAAGCACAGCTTTCACCTTTACACCGGTGGCTTTTTTCCTGGCTGAAGCCTCAAACTATCCTTTCTTCTTTATCAACTCCTCACCTCTCACCTGACTTCAGCACTGTCGCTCACTTTATTCTTCCTTGGTTACCATTACTTGGCTCTAGTTTTTCTTTCTCTCCAGCCTCTCCTTTTGTCCCCTCCAGCCAGATAGAGTTTCCCGTTAAAGGAAGACACTAGGACCAGCTCAGGTGTCTGTATGGGAGTTGTTGAGTGACATGGATCCCCCTGCCAAAGAGCAGCTGGTCTCTGCTGGTGCCTGGGGGGGTCTGAGTGACATGGAGAGGTCCAACCATCCCACCCATCTCTCAGACTCAATCCTTGGCTCACCAGATGTGGTGGCCAGCCCTTCCCTGGCAGAGAGGTCACACGTTTTTAAGTCCGTATGGCTCTTTGGTATTTGGAACGCATCTCCCTGCTGTCCCGCTGGCTATCGAGCAAATCGCGACGATGAGTCTGCTGAGGGGTGTCGCACACATTGACCCCTGCAGGGCTTGAGGGGCCAAAAGATGGGTGCTGATGGGACCCTGCCAGGGTGCGGGTGGGACGGGAGAGACTGGGCTTCTGGAATCAGGAATCGTAGAATCCCAGAAGGGTTTGGGTTGGAAGGGACCTTAGAGGTCATCCAGTGCCACTTGGCAGGGACACCTCCCACCAGCCCAGGTTGCCCAAAGCCTCATCCAGCCTGGCCTTGACCCCCTCCAGGGATGGGGCATCCGCAGCTTCTCTGGGCAACCTGTGTACGGGAAGAGCAACAGCCCCAGAGCTGCAGCTGGGCAGGAGGAAGGGAGGGGATGGGGGCTGGAGGCTGTCCCTGCTCCTACGTGAAAAGCCACCAGGTTAGGAAGGGACAATGGGTGGCAGAGTGTCTGATCTGGGGACAGAACAGGTCTGCCCGGATCAGGAGACACATCGGGCTGGCTGTGGGACTGGGCTGGGTGTCACCTGCTAAGCTGTGGGGTTCCCTGTGCTGAAAGGCTGGAGGGGACGGGTGCACAGACCCCCCTCCTGCCGGGGCTCCGTCAGGGGCTGCCGCCGAACCTCTGGAGCCATAGCTCAGCTACCGATGAGAACAGACAGATGGGATATATGATCATTAGATGCTTGCGTTGTTGTAATTTAGATCACATGGTAGGGCTTTTCTCATTGCCACCCAACACAGAGAGGAGGAGACTAAGACTTTTTCTGAGCTTTATCAGAGAAATATTAACTGTGAACAGTTTGTTAGATTTGTTGTGACAAGTGCTTGGTGTATGGAGCATCTGAGCACACACGGCAGGAGACAAGCTGAGCATCACAGGGTAATAGTGTGTGAAGAACGAAAGTCAGATGGTCCAAATTCTGTCTGTGTGTCCTGCAGCTTTATTAATACTATCTTCATTTGGCTGATGGGAACATCATATTAGATGGAAAATGCATCTGTTTATATTTTCAGTAATATTAAACGTATTTTTAAAAAAGTAAAGGATATGTAATTAATGACATTAATGTTAGTGTGCCATAGTGGCAGTGGTTGAAATACCAACCTAAGCAGTCGTTTAGATAGGAGATTTTGAGATTGTACAGCTTAATTTTTCATGTCTCTCTGCAAAAAGTTGGTCCTTTGATGCATAAACTCTTTGAAAATCTTGAGATTAATGCTCTATATA